CAACTATGCAGACAAAGCATGCAGGCCTCCCCACACTGAGCACAGGTACCACATAGAACTCTTGAAAGCATCTACTATAGTGACGGGAACCTGTAATTCCCATTAGCCCCAGCTAGCAAGGTCAATGACCAGAGATGATGGAAGTTCAAGTCCAACATCTGGAGGACCACATGTTCCCAACCCTTGATCTACTGCTTGGTTTCTGGTGGTGCAACTCCACCCTTGTTCTGTAATGATGAAGAACCTTGATACTGATCCAAACAAAATCTAGAATGAAAAGCTCGAGGATACAGCAGACATTTCTTAATTAACTAAATGAAGCATGCTCGTCCAATAAAATCTTACTTTTGTTAAGCAAACAAGCTAGCACTTTTACGGATGTCTATAAAAATGAATGTTGTCTGTGAGATATTTATTAGCAGAACGCAAAGATGTATCCGATAGCTAGTCTAGAGACCTGCTGAATTTCATGGCACAAGCATGAAAAAAAATCCATTAGCAAGTAACTGAAGGTATTAAGATGTGTGGAATTTTGTCAGTATAAACAGAATTCTGTTGGGCATGAATTATCTTGGCCTGGCAGTAGAACAGCTGACAGTCTTTCAACAACTTTAAAGATTGATTTACATTACTCCATAATTCCAGTTTAGGGCCCCAAATATCACTTGATAGTCTGATAAAAACATTTGTACAGAGTTGTTCATGTGCTGAGTAAAAACAAACAGAAGATGTATGAAATCTATTATGAAAGGTTTGTGACTGATCGAGGCCTTAAGAAGAAGAACGCATTAGTTGTAAGAGTAATGATACCAACATGTGCAAGAAAAATTTAGATCTGTCACGCGTTGACTCTATGTAATTATATTACCAAAAATTCGATTAAAAACATCTGAAATCTGTGCAGAGGAAACGCTTACTCAAGAAAAACTGCACAAGTAAATAACACTGATGTATCTTTACTCATTTTAGATGAAATGCTATCATTTGCAGGTTTTCTGCAGGACCTAATTTATCAAAGGCAGAATTTTGGGGAGAGTATGTTTGTACAGTATATGTAACATGGAAGGGGAAAGATACACATTAGAACGACAGGTCCCCCCCCCCAATAATGCTCTAGTCACTGATTTCAAGGCCACTTCATGCCCCACCTTCTGTGGTCATTTGTGATCCGGCATATTCAGAGCAAGTTTATTCAGAGCACAATCATATACATGTCTCCTCAAAGTAGACCCCAAGCTGTGTTACAGGGAGCCTCCGAAAATCTTGGAAGCAGTTCCTCTTCTGGCGAGGAGGAAAGCCCCACCTCCAGTGGAGAAGAGGTGCAAGGACCAGAGGATGCTAGAAAGAGCCTTAACACTGCACCTAAGCAAGCTGGAGAGGAGGGAAGCACGCCCTTGCCATCGCCCATCATGCGCAGTAGTTTGAGGTTCAGGGAAGGGCGGAAAAGGCTGGGGGTGACGAAACTTTTATGTTGGGGGAGGTACAAAAGCAGACCACTCCCGGATTCTGCTAGCGATTGAGCCAGACATGAACTTATGACGCTCTTCACTGTAAATAAAGGTAAAGGGACCCCTGACCTTTAGGTCCAATCATGACCGACTCTGGGGTTGCGGCGCTCATCTCGCTTTATTGGCCGAGGGAGCCAGCCTACAGCTTCTGGGTCATGTGGCCAGCATGACTAAGCCGCTTCTGGCAAACCAGAGCAGCGGATGGAAATGCCGTTTACCTTCCCACCGGAGCAGTACCTATTTATCTACTTGCACTTTGACGTGCTTTTGAACTGCTAGGTTGGCAGGAAGCTAAGTAGGCACAAAATTGTATCTAGAGGTGTAAACAAATTGTCCCCTATCCATAGGGAAATCAAAGGACAACATTTCATCAAGCTTCTCTAAGCAGAGTGGAATTTCCCATATTGTTTCTTGAGGCTCACCATTAGCAGTGGCAGAAGTAGCACAGTTCGTTGCTTTTTCTCTTCCCCTTAAGTTTTTTGACAAGGGTGGCAGCTATGTGGGCAATCTGGCCACCATTTTGCATCCTCCACATTGCCCAAAACCTGTCATCATCCCAGGGCATTGTGTGAGAGAATAGTGGAGAGGGTTGTTAGCTGCCACAAACAACTGAAAACATTCAAAGGAAATTCTGTAAAGTAGCCTTCTTTTGTGGGGGGCCAGGGGGTAAGAAATAGAAAAATCTCAGAAGTTTGTTTTTCCCCCCCAGAAAAAAAGACTAAAGACTAATTTTGGTTCAGCTTTAATGGCAGCCTTACACCTAATAATAATAATAATAATAATAATAATAATAATTTATTATTTATACCCCGCCCATCTGACTGGGTTTCCCCAGCCACTCTGGACAGCTTCCAACAAAACACTAAAATACAATAACCTATTAAACATTAAAAGCTTCCCTGAACAGGGCTGCCTTCAGATGTCTTCTAAAAGTTTGGTAGTTATTTTTCTCTTTGACATCTGGTGGGAGGGTGTTCCACAGGGCGGGTGCCACTACCGAGAAGGCCCTCTGCCTGGTTCCCTGTAACTTGGCTTCTCGCAGCGAGGGAACCACCAGAAGGCCCTCGGCGCTGGTCCTCAGTGTACGGGCAGAACGATGGAGTTGGAGACACTCCTTCAGGTATACTGTATACACCACAATCCTATACACTCTAACCTGAGACTAAGTCCAATTGAACACATTGGGGATTATTTCTGAGTGGACATACACAGGATTATGTTGTCATTAAATCAAATACATTTATTCCTATTTCAGCATTGCATCCTCACTCTGAAGACTATTCCCAAGTGACCTTTTTATTCAGCTGAAGAATGGGAGAGAAACTTGATTCAGTTCACATTTAAAGGTGAACCTACCTAATCTGCATTTTACGAAATGAATGCAAACTTAAAATTAGCTCAAAATCCACACTTCTCCGAATTCTGCAGCACAGTTATCCCACCAAGTAATATGTACATAAATGCATATAAGTGAGTTACAGTGTCCATAAAAAATTGCAGAGATTGGTGAAAAGAGCATACAAAATTGTATTATTTTAGGGGAAATGCCTCTGCAAAAAAAAATGTGCATATAAAGAAAATTGCATGCAAACATCTGTATAATAGAAATTTGCACTAGAATGCTGATGCATTTTCATGAGAGCTATTTTTAAAAAAAAACAACACACAAAATAGTGTGGAAATGTGGAGAATCGAATAAAAGAAAAAAAGATGAGAAGTAGAAAGAGACCAAAATTGAGAAATTCACCCACCCCTGAGTTCACAGAGAGAGATCTTATTTTACGTAGCTCTGAGATTTGTGTGAGTCAAACGCTTGGTCTTTCCAGCTTTCCCTGGAAAACAACACTGTTATTTTTATACCAGGGAAGAATTTTGTCGCCCTCTTTTTCAAATTAACACATGATGTAATGGACAAACACACATTGTATTAGTTAATATCCATAATGGATACATAGCCTTTTTATTGTTTTTTGGTTTTTTAAAGTTGGGATAACTGGGCGGGGGGGGGGGTGGAAATGCCCTAAAAGATAGGAGAGGAAAGAAAAAGAGTTAGCGTTGAATGAATTAATAGCAGGCAGGTGGCTGGGTGGGTGTCATGGCAGATAAACAGTGTGGTGAAGCCAAGGTAATTATAATTATAATCTGGCCAGTAATGCTTTCAGCTGGGGGGTGCATAAACCTCCCTAAGTTAATGCTGAGATAGTCCACTCCCCACCTGCTCCTTGCCCCCACCTCCCTGCAAAACAACAACACCATCCATAGCCAAATTCATACTTCACTCATCTTGGAGCAATACAAAGCAGGGTCGATTTCTGAAAGGTTGCAAACCCCGGGAGGAAAACGCACACAAGCTTCTAGTGATCTGCCTCCTAGCCTCTCCCTACATTTCTGGACCGCATCCACTCCTTTCTGTGCTGCATTATTCACAAGGGTACAGCAGGCTCAAGCTAACAGAAGTCAATGGCAGATGTGTCGGCAGCATTCCTTTCTGTAATTTTGCTAAATGGATGTAGCCCATAAAAAAGCAGCCTTAATTAATGAAAAAAAAATTAACCGCACTTATATTAGGAGGGGAAACACAGTTGCCAAAAAAGCAAAACTTCACAGGTGGGAGGTGGTGGGAATTAAACCAACTTTGACAAAGATGGCCAAAGTAGAGGTGGCCCTCTGCTCTATAAAATGAATCTGTCTGAAATGTTGTTCGCCGGCCCTTCGCAAAGGGAGGGCATTTGTCTACCTGGGGAAATGCACTAATTAGTCACTTCACAGCCAGCTTTAGCTCTAGGTATGGTGCAAAGTGGAGATTTAAAATTAATCATCCCACTGTGTGCTAGATATTGGGTGTGGGGAGGTGAGCCTGCATACAGTGGTGCCTCGCAAGACGAAATTAATCCATTCCGCGAGTCTCTTCGTCTTGCGGTTTTTTCATCTTGCGAAGCACGGCTATTAGCGGCTTAGCGGCTATTAGCGGCTTAGCGGCTTTAAGAAAAAGGAAACAAACTCGCAAGAACTCGCAAGACGTTTCGTCTTGCGATGCAAGCCCATAGGGAAATTCGTCTTGCAGAACGACTCAAAAAACGCAAAACCCTTTCGTCTAGCGAGTTTTTCGTCTTGCGAGGCATTCGTCTTGCGGGGCACCACTGTAGTTCCACTTCCTCGGTCCATATGCAAACCAAAATGCAGCTATCGTCCAAATTTTGCGGGTCTCTTAATTTTGCAAAGCAGCCCCCCCCCCATAACGTGTCTGAAATAATTTCTAAATGTTACAGTTTCCAGACAGACTTGGTAACGAATTGTATAATTTTGTGTGTTCTTGTCGTAGGTGAGGCAGGTTCAAGTAAGAAAACTTATTCAAAGCAGTGCTTTTCAGCATACGTGAACTATAAACTATATACTGCAATTCAATGATCTCTTCCTATTAATTGTAGAATTGCAGAGCTGGAAGGGACCACAGGGGTCATCTAGTCCAACCCCCTGCAATGGAGGCATCTCTTGCACAATGTGGGGCTCGAACCCACGACCCCAAGATTAAGATTCTCATGCTCTGCTGACTGAACTATTGCCACACATATTCCTTGACTCATATGTTTAGAGTCCAGTAAGCTTTGGCAACACAAGTCTTACTGATGATATCCATGCTCTGCTTTGATGAGTGGTCATTTTTAATATAATCTTGTTATTAAACCAGCATTTAGAAAGTGCCTTGGGACAACTAGGGGTGATTTATCATAGGAAGTGATCTATACGATTCTAGCCTGTAATCATACTGCATGAACCAGGTGACGAAGTGTGATAATTTGCTACCCTTTCACCTTTGATGTCAAAGTGGCAGAGATTGATAAATCCAGACACCTGCATTTATCATCAGTGTTTTTATAGAATTAAATGTAAACTTTAATTATTTATGTGCATTTATCTGTCTCCTCCTCCCCCCCCCTCAAAAAAAATTGACTGGAAATAGCTAGAATTCCTCAAGCTCAACCAAACTCAGCATCCTCTTCCAAATTAAGCCTACATCGCTCCTGTTTATATTAATATGGACGAACAGCATGTATCACACCAGCTGGAAGTGACAATAGGGCAAATCCTTTTATAAACGTTGCGATTGTCAACATCTTCCCTTGTGCGCTACTTAAGTAGCCCCACAGAAAACCGGATCAAGAGAGTGTTCAAAAGATTGGTTAGACCGTGTGTGTATGTGTCCCCAAGCCTTCTTTGAAATCCAAATTAAAATTAAAATCCCAGTAAGAAATAGAAAGCATTGGGTTGTCCAGGCCAGGAGAAACTATTTATCCAGCAGACTTTTAACTATGCAAAATCATGAGGAGGTGGCAGAATGTACCGACCTAAGGCAGATAGATGGAATCAGCAGAAATATCAAGTCATTATTATACAGAGCCATTAATACGTAACTGAGAAAAGCAATGACAAACCTAGACAGCATCTTAAAAAGCAGAGACATCACCTTGCCAACAAAGGTCCGTATACTTAAAGCTATGGTTTTCCCAGTAGTGATGTAGAGAGCTGGACCATAAAGAAGGCTGATCGCCGAAGAATCGATGCTTATGAATTAGGGTGCTGGAGGAGACTCTTGTGAGTCCCATGGACTGCAAGAAGATCAAACCTATCCATTCTGAAGGAAATCAGCCCTGAGTGCTCACTGGAAGGACAGATCCTGAAGCTGAGACTCCACTTCTTTGGCCACCTCATGAGAAGAGAAGACTCCATGGAAAAGACCCTGATGTTGGGAAAGATGGAGGGCACAAGGAGAAGGGGACGACAGAGGACGAGATGGTTGGATAGTGTTCTCGAAGCTACCAGCATGAGTTTGACCAAACTGCGGGAGGCAGTGGAAGACAGGAGTGCCTGGCATGCTCTGGTCCATGAAGAGTCGGACACGACTAAATGACTAAACAACAACAACAAACATTAATATGTAACTAGGGCTTTTTACAAGGTAAGCAGGAAAAGGCAGGGCCCCTGACTGAAGGAATGGCCTCCATTCATTGTTTGGACTATAACTCCCATCATTCCTGACCACCTGCCATATTGGCTGGGGCTGATGGGAGCTGGAGTCCAAAAACATCTGGAGGCCACAACATTGGCTGTAGCCCCAGTCACATGAGCAATGAGGAACTAGTCTCCCAGAGTTAATATAACATCCCCTCCTGATTGTTAGCTCCTTCTTGTTGCTATGATACCTTGGCTACCCCTGCACAGTGAACAAGGCACCAAGCAAGTGGATGGCTAGCTACTGTCATCCCCACCCAGCAGACATGGGACTGGTGGAGAAAGCCCATTCTCCGTCTCTTGGCCAAGACTCTCAAACCCTTAGAAATCTGACTGCATTTTTAATTATTGGTTTTCAGAAAGAGAGTGTTAGTAGTGTGCTTGCCAAAAGGTAGACACAATGCAGCCAAAAATTAAGAACTAAAAAAATAATAATCCACTGAAATGCTGGCTCAATCATGCCTGTGAGATATTATATATATATATATATATATATATATATATATATATATATATACACACACACACACACCACTCCAGCCTGAAAGTCCATGGCAAATGGCACATCTCCCACAAACTTCAATAGAAACAGAACATCACCTTTGGAGAGTAGCTAAAGACCTAGCTATGTGCATTACACAATGGACATTTCAGATGGAAAGGGCTGCTTATTCTGACTCAAACTGACATGACCACTCAACAGTGCCTCCAGACTTTTGAAATACATCTCCCATCAGCCCCAGCCAGCAGGTCAGCAATGGTGGGAGTTATAGTCTAAAACATTTGGAGGAACCATATGTGAGCAACAAGTTATTAGTATCATGTGGAACATTTTCCTTCCAGTGATGTCAGCTTTCCATACTTTGGAGAAAGGAGGCTCAGGAAAGTATAGAGTATATTTAGCCAATATATTTCCAGGCCCTCCAAGTGTCCCTATTTTGCAACGACAGCTCTGGATTTACAGAAGCTGTCCCGGTTTCTGATTTGATCCCAGAACATCCCGCTTTTCCTTAGGACGTCCTCATTCATCGGAGAAATGTTGGAGGGTATGGTGGGATGTCCCTATTTTGATTGGAGAAATGCTGGAGGGTATGAAATAGGACATCCCTCTATTCATCACAGAAATATTGGAGGGTATGTATTTAAAAGTTAAAGCTATGGTTTTCCCAGTAGTGATGTATGGAAGTGAGAGCTGGACCATAAAGAAGGCTGATCACTGAAGAATCAATGCTTTTATGGTGCTGGAGGAGACTCTTGAGAGTCCCATGGACTACAAGAAGATCAAACCTGTCCATTCTGAAGGAAATCAGCCCTGAGTGCTCACTGGAAGGACAGATCCTGAAGCTGAGGCTCCAATACTTTGGCCACCTCATGAGAAGAGAAGACTCCATGTAAAAGACCCTGATGCTGGGAAAGATGGAGGGCAGAAGGAGAAGGGGACGACAGAGGACGAGATGGTAGGACAGTGTTCTCCAAGCTACCAGCATGAGTTTGACCAAACTGCGGGAGGCAGTGGAAGACAGGAGTGCCTGGCATGCTCTGGTCCATGGGGTCACGAAGAGTCGGACACGACTAAACAACAATGTATTTAAAAGCTAGATTAATGCTACAATTGCCAATTTTATTTTGATTTTTTTAAAAGGTAAGGAAGGGCTATTCATTTGACCAAGCTTTATGTATTAAAGAGAACATAAAATTTGTTCTGTTAATCTAGTATGAAAAATAATTTTAAATTGGGGGAAGGAAGAGAGAGAGAGAGAGAGAGAGAAATACAGGCCAGGTAGAACCTAAAAGCAAATGGAAAGCCAAATCTCTCTTTCCACAGTACCCATCTTAATATGAAAATTAGTGCAATACGATTAGCTCTTCGTCTCAACATGAACAAGAGGATATCATGGGGGATTATTCTGCACAGTGCTAAAGCCAGCTGTATCTGATCCTAACCCAGGGGAAAATGGGGTTGGGGGGGGAGGGATATGGATTTCAATTTGTGCCATAATGAAATGGTAAGTGATATAGCTTGGGTCTTTAATGGCTGTATTAATTTCCAGGTGATGGCGCTAAACTAGAATAGAGAGGCCTAGGCAACAGCCACCTATCTGCCCAGCAATCAATGCTACGTGTAGGGAAAGCTCTGCTTTGCTAGCGTGGCTTCGAAAGCAATGGAGTTAAAAGCAATGAATATAGCAGATTGTCTGAGAAAGAGGGTTACCATTTCTAAATCACCTCATTCACCTCTATAGGTTATTCTGGATCTCCAAACTCTAATACACTTTTTTCAAAAATAGCAACTACCTACACACACATTCCTGCTTTTATTATTTTCCCCAATACACCTTTTTTTTAAAAAAAAACCACACACCCCTCCATTTGTGGTAACTAAATTGAATTTGCACCTTTCACTTGGGTTCACATGAGACATTCAGATCTTATCTAACCATTTTACAAGCGAAAATCCACCCCAAGAATATTTCCCCCAGTGTAATTGTTTGACATCCAAATGTATTATTATTCCATAGACGACAACAAAATGGAATTCACTGTAGACTGAAATTGTATTGAAATACTCAGCAATTTCCATGTATATTCTATGATGTTTTAGCATTGTGTAAAAATCGAGACACATGAGCTAGACGAAAGTCAAGTGTCAGGATTGCTCAAGTTCAGGCTCGTGGCGAACAGATCAAGCTATTTCTGGTCTGTGACACTTTTGTGTGTGCTCATTCATAAACCCATTCTGCCCCATTGACCCATTACTTATATTTCAAAAAACTGCATGAAAATTGTTATTTAAATTTATAGGGTGTAATCTATTATTGACCATACACAAGGCAGACCTATTGAAACCAATGGGTTTAAGTAGCTTACGTCTGTTAATTTTATTGGCTCTCCTCTGAGTCAGTGGGTCAGTTCTAACTAATATGGGATATCGCCCATAGTTAAATGCTTATTTATATACATATTTTACAACAAAATAGCATTAAAATACACATTTTATCTCAGTGTATGATTTCCTAAAATAAGCATTTTGGAACATTTCTTGACCTAAGAACTGTGGTGCAAAATTTAAAGAAGTGCAAAATTCAAGGATAGTTATATTAATTATACTTATATATTAGTTTAGGAGGTGTGAATTAGGTCAGCACACTTAAAAATACAAACCAAGTGTAAAATCTACTGCATTCTCAGTTCACACACATCCAGAAAGAGATTTACATCTGGGCTCTTCCTGTACTGTAGTCTTATAGTACTGTGCATATGTACCCAAGTAACAGGTCCTGTGAAAAGACCTTAGAAAACCCCACATGTAACTGACTCAGTCCATGAACCCTCTGCCTCCCCTCCCCCACCTCTAACCCTATTTGAGCACTAAGTAGTATATAAATTAATGAATTTGTAACTCAAGAAGCCTGCAGGGGCATTGCCAAATAGCGAGGAGTCAGAAATCTGCACATCACCACACAATTCTTAAGAGAATATATGTTTTTCACCAGAGACAATTTAGCTTGAAGACACCATCACCTGGCTAAATCGATTCCTTTTCTATGGTAGTAGTG